AAATTTCGCTGCACCAAATGGACGTGCAGAGTTAGAAAATACAGTATATTCTTCATTAGATGTTGGCCTATCATTATTGCGCTCAACTCTGTTGAACATTGTTTCCACATCGTGTAAATACATTGAGCAAAAAGTCAAACATTCCTTATCCAAATATCGCTCGGCTATACAACCTTCGGGTCGTGCATTATTGTTTACGTATCCCTTCAAGGTCCCCATTTTCCTACTCAATAATAAAAAAAAATATTAGTTGTATAAAACCTTTTAAAGAAAAAAAAAAGTAAGATTAACAAAGAATACCTCTCGATTGGATACATCCATCGAAATTGGGGTGGACCGGCAACCTTTGTTTCTGAAGGTAAATGAACCAAAAGGTGGACCATTATATCAAAGAAAGATGGAGGAAACAACTTTTCTAGCTTGCACAATATGATTGCTATGTTTTCCTCTTCTGCTTCTAAAACGTCTCGGTAAGCAGTTTTTGAGCACAACGTAGTAATAAAAGAACAAAGCTCAAATATTACTTGCCGAACTTCCTTGGTCAAACTGCCTCTGATCGCAACAGGGAGAATTCGTTGTATAAAAATGTGATAATCATGACTTTTCATACCAGACAATTGAAATTCTCCATTCTTTATGCAACGAGAAATATTTGAAGCGAAACCATCTGGAAATTTTATTGATGCCAGAAACTCAGTTATTTTTGCCTTCTCCTCTTTCGTTAGGTGGTAAGATGCCCTAGGCATCATAAAAGAATCACCATTTTGCTTTAAATGTAGGTCCTCCTTAAGTTTTAGTTCCTTCAAATCCTCTCGAACCTTCCACGTGTCTTTTGTTTTTCCAGGAATGTCCATGATTGTTCAAATTAAACTCTCAGCCACATTTTTCACTACATGCATGATATCAATGTTATGTCTCAGTTTCAGATCTTTCCAATATGGCAACTCAAAAAATATACTTTTCTTTGTCCATTTCATATTTTCTGTACTATTCTTCTTTTGTTGCCGCTTTCGCTTTGGTTGCCGCTTTCGCTTCGATTGTACCTCCTCAATCACCTTTTTCCCCTTTCCAAGAGCAGGAAACTCATGCGCATGGAGTTGCAACTCTCTTTGAACATCTTCTCCTGACTTGAGTATAACTGGATCTCTCATATCACTAGTTCCATCAAATGCATGTTTCATCTTTCGCCACCGATGACTTTTCGGCAAGAACCTACGATGCCCCATATAACACCGCTTTGAACTGTTTCTTAAATGTATACAAGTTGTATCATTCATACATATAGGACATGCAGAGTATCCTTGTGTACTCCAACCCGAGAGCATGGCATATGCAGGAAAATCATTTATTGTCCATAATAGCGAAGCACGTAATATAAATGTTTCCTCTTTATATGCATCATAAACCTCAACACCATTCCATAATTCATTCAACTCATCAATCAAAGGTTGCAAATATACATCAATATCTTTCCCAGGAGATTTTGGTCCAGGAATTAACATTGACATAATCGAAAACTGATCTTTCATGCATTTCCATGGTGGTAAATTGTAAGGGACAAGGAACACAGGCCAAATACTGTATGAATTACTCATATCAAATGGATTGAATCCATCAGAAGCAAGACCTAACCTTATGTTGCGAGGGTCTTTAGCAAAATCCTCATGCACCATATCAAAGTGTTTCCATGCTTCACTGTCTGCAGGGTGTCGCATGATGTTATCATTCGTAGAATCCCTTACTTCCTTGTGCCATCTCATATCGCGTGCTACCTCCTTATTCATAAAAAGTGTACGAAGCCTTGATTTCAAAGGAAAATACCGGAGTACTTTTCGAGGCACTTTCGAGTTCTCTCCTATATATCTTGGTTGATCACATTTTTTATTTGGACATCTGGTGTAGCATGCATACTCATTGCGATAAAGAACACAATCATTGACACATGCATGAATTTTTTCATATTTGAAACCCATATCTCGAACTACCTTTTTAGCTTCATAATAAGAAGGTGGAATGGAAGTTTCGGTAGGAAGAGCTTTCTTCAATACTCCGAGCAATGCATCAAAAGAATTGATTGTCCAACCATGCATTGTTTTCAAATGGAGAAGGGTTACAATGAAAGATAATTGTGTATAGTTCGTGCATCCTGGGTATAGTTCTTTCTTTGTTTCTTCTAACAATCTCATTATTCCATCTGCATCTCTTCCCCTAGAACTTTCATCCACATATTCGTTCATCAAGTAACCTTGTCCAATTTCACGTATCATTTCTTCTAAGTCATCATCCCCATCTTCAAGTTCTTCATAAACTACATTCTCTGTATTTGCATGATTTGTTGCCTCTTCACCATGAAACCTCCATCTTACGTAACTGGTTCTAATTCCATTAACATACAAATGCTTTTCAACTTCCTCTTTTGTACCATTAAAATATTGTTGCATGTTTTGCAAGGGCAAGGAATCTCATGTGACACATCCAAGTTTTTATATGCAAACTCCAAAAATTCAGTCACACCTTTTCCATAACGTTTATCCGTTCTGTTATAGATTTGCATCCAACTCTTATCCATTGGCTGAAACAATTGAAAAGACAACAAGTTTTGTTCGTCATATACATGTAATTTTAACTATTTGTAAACAACAATACTTGGACATAATATCAAAAAGTTGGTATGCGTTAGATTATATTAAAAATTTCAACATTTAAGAATTTATTTCGATCTAAATAAGTTTCATAAAAATAGGAAACTAATTGAACTCAGAACAATCTTGAAGTGGTTGTTTTGTTTATTTTATGAAATATTCAACTTCACTAGAATATATTTTTTGAAAAGAAAAAAAGAAAACCACACTAAGTGGATAAATAAGGTTTTATGAGTGAGAGAGAGAGAGAGAAAGTAAATAATAAAAATTTTTGGTAGAAAATATCTTCATCATAAGAGTGTAAGTATACTGGTACGAGGAAAACATTAAACCATGGTGCGCAATAGAACAAGATAAATCAACAAAGAGAAAGCGAAACAAAAAAAAACACTATAACCCACTAAATTCAGTTTTTTTTTGGAAAAATAAAATCTGCCGAACATCAAAACAAAAAAGAAGATCAATTAAATGGATCCAAACAAACACGTATAGTTGGAATTGTTTTGGGAAAAAAAAAACTGCCAAATATCAAAACAAACAAAAAATAATATTAATTGGTACTTCATAGGCTCTTTCAAACAGAAATCTTACATCAAAGTTGCAAACACGTAGCCCATGACAAAATAAACAATAAATAAAAAACAAAAATACATGAACCCATGATGGCAAAATACACCGAATTTAGTAGGGGACAAAAGAAGGATCTTGAAACAAGTTCATGAATTCATGAAACAAGTAGAAAGAAATTTCAATGGTTACCTTTTCTCTCGCTGAGGAGTGGAGGGAGTAAAGATAATTTTATTACTCTTTTTGGGTAGAAAATACTATGTAAATAGAGATTGAATCGACTAACTCATGTTATTTATAGAAATACGTGAAACTATTAGACAAATCCTGAACAAGTTTCAATTAAATTTGAAGTTGATGTAAGCATACACTTTATTGATCAATCGTGCGTCGGTGTCGTTATCATCGATTATTATTATTAATTTTGTAAGGAATAAGACTAATTAAAGTGAGTGGTTCAATTCTAGTGGAATTGGTGGTTGGATTGGAAGACTCGTACAAACCAACTGGTTGTGATGACAAAGGAATATATTATATAACAATTTCAATCATATACAAATTCAAGTATTAAGTATTTTTTTTAATTATAAATCTAGCTTCAATTTTTAAATAACACTTTTATTTGATCAATAAATAATTTTATTTTATTTTTTTGGGGGAAATGCAACCGATATTTCCTGGTAAATCTTCTGGAGGTTAAGCTAATAGAAGAATTTTATCTTTTTCCGTCAAAGAAGGAAAATACAAGTTCTGAATTATTAATTTTTTAGTAGTATGATGTGATAAATACTCTAAAAAAAATGTGATAAGTATACTGTTCTATATCTTTAAAACAAGACTTTTACTTAATCAATAATTGAGTTTTTTTTTGAGGGAACGTAGCTACTGTATCCCGAGCAAATTTTCAGGAAGTTTTATTTAATCAGTTATAAGCTTTTTAGCTTTTCCCGCGAAAAGGAAAAATGGCGGCACAGATCTTGTCAAGAAAAAGTTATATATAGAGTCATGTATCAACACTCAACTCTCCCATGAAGTGCTATTTCCGTTCATCACTGGTGAGTGGAGTTTTTTTAGGGTAATTTCTTTTTAACAATTATAATTTTGTTTTCCTGAAAGAAAGTTATTCAGATAGATTCTTTTCTTATTGTTTTGCTTTCTTTGTTTCAGGAAAATATTGCATTTGGACCAAGTTTTCCCATTGAAGAAAAAGTTAAGATTTTTTATTCTTTTTTGTATCAAAAGAACACTTTTAGAATCCTTCTTCTTTTTTTTTTTCCTTTTTTTTTTTTTGTGAAAATCTCTTCATGTATCCATATTCGATGGAAACCTAGGTTCTTGAATTTACTGTGAATTTATCGCAAGTCTTGACTTCATTCTTGATCAAGCTTAATTTATGGAAGAGTGGGCGGCAAAAGGAGGGTTTTATTTGTAATTATATGGTTCAATAATAACTTAACTCATTGATACTAGCTTGAGTAATTTTATTTGATTTCGTTGCTTTCATTTTGTGAGTGTGCATGCATGGGGTGTGTGTGCGGTTGTTCAATTTAGAGTCAAACAGATAATGGATTTTTCTCCTGCCTTTTGTCCACTCAAACCTTCTATAATGAATTTGCTATGATTAAATTAATTAGGGGTTTGGTTCTCACTTATCTTTCAATTCACTTTGCTGATGGAAACACGTGCAAATCTAAGTTATTATGGTTTTGGTCTTCATGATTGTCGTTCAAATATGTGTTCTTGAATTGTTGCGTTTTCTTTTAATTATTATTATTTGGTTATATTTTGTAGATGGTTGGACCAGGAATGACGAACATTGGGAAAAATGCAATCATCCAAACTGAAAATAGGCAACGCTTCTCAAGAGGAAAACGAATCCAAGCCAACGCTGCGCCAAGCACTCATGAGTTTCATTTGCGAGATGAAGAACTAAATGGTGATGCACAAGTATCATCGTCCGCAACTAGTCGACAGCCTAGGACTAAACGTCCATTACCAGCAAATTCTAATGTGAATGACACTCAAAAAGCTAGAGACTTGGTCGCCACTAGGAATGAGGAGGAAATTGTTCAACCTCCTACTAAGGTTACACGCATAACTAAAGGTACATATATTTTGAATAAGCAATTTGATTATTTCGTTTATTTTTCTGCATTATAGTAACATTCAAAAATAGTTAATGTTTTATTAATCTTTTCTCTTACCATGAACATTAAATGATAGCTCCTCTGGCAAAGAGAGGAATTACAAGGAATATCCGACTAGCTAACAAAAGGAATGCGAATGAACCTGTTATAGTGGAATTTGATGAATCGTCCAAGCGTATAGTTGGTCCAGGATCACAAGACTTCATTCAAGAACTGGGTTGCATTGTTCGTAAAATGGCAGATTTCACTTTAAAGAATTTCCAGTCTCAAAAAGAGACTTTGGTTGACGACATTATTAAGAATGCATCGGTATGTTTTAGCATTTGGTTAAAGATAGATTTTGCAAAAAATGTCCTTTCATAGTTGTGATTAAATTATCAATTTTCGACCATATAGGATGGAGTTCGATACGAGGATGGACCATTAGCAAGAGAGTGCATTTTTAAGCAATTGGCCAATCAATTCAAGACTCACAAGCATAAATTGCATAAGCTATACAAAACATATGAAACAACGGATCTTGCATAGATGAATGTTCCGGAAGGAATGAATGCAGTGGATTGGGCAGTTCTTTGTGAAATTTTTGATGGTGATGATTTCAAGGTTCGTCTCTATTGGTTTTTGCATCTATGTATTATTGATTTCACCTAGAATTTACTTTTGTTACGAAGCAATGGAACATAAAAATGATTAACTTTACTATTTTGATTGTATGTGTGCCAGAAAATCTCTACACGGAATGCAAAAAATAGAGCCCTTTTAGAAGTTCCACCTGCCACTGGAACCAAATCTCTTGCAAGATACATTGAAGAAAAGGTATAGACGATGTGGCGCAATCATTGGATTTTTTAATATCTTTAGTGTTGCTTCTAATATCACTGTTTTGTTATAGAAACAGCTGGAAAACAGGAAAGTCACTTATATTAAAGCTTATAAGGTGGGCCATTACTCAAACATAAAAGGCGCGATGGTTAATGAGAAAGCGAGTGAAACTCTGGTATTTATTTTCATTGAAGGAATTAAATTGTCTTTTATTTGATTGAAACATTACCATTCCATGTCTTAGATTTACCAAAATGCGCATATGTATGTTTTGGTTAATTACATTATAGGCTCAATTAGAAAGTCTAAAAGAAACTACAGACATGGATGATATCGATGTCTGCCTTGAAGTCGTTAAGGGTTTACCTGGACATGCACGTGGACGATCCGCACCAAAGAAACAAGTTTTAGCAATTGAAAGAAGTCGTGATGAGATCGAAAAGGCCAATAAAAGAGCCGAGGAAGCAGAAAAAGAGAAACAACTTTTGGCTGCACAAGTTGCTATTAATGCAGAAGAGTATAAGAAATTGGAAGAGCGTCAAAAGCAATCTGATGATAAGTTAGAAGAAATGAATCGCAAACTTCAACTTCTTCTTCAAGGCCAATCTCCAAATAATGTAAGTGTGTGAATATATCAGTATTCATTACAAGTTTAAAAAGCTTATAGCATTTTTCGCCTTTGTTTTTGGTAATAATGCATACAACATTCCTAATTTTCATTGTAATACTTTTATGCAGTGACTCCACAAAATAACTACAAAGAGAAAGCAGCTCAATATCGTTGAACAACACCTCAATCGTGGATGCTTTTTTTTTAATGTTTATTTTCAAATTCCCATGATACTATTTTCGTGGATGGTTTCTTTTGTGTTTATTTTCATATTGGCAGGTTATTATGTTAGTTGAATTTCTCCTAAAGACTTCATTTGGGGTTTAAGCTTGTAATAAAATTTCCTTTTGGACACGTTATAGTTCTTTTTCGTTTTTTTTTTGTTTGTTGCAAATTAGGTTTTTTTTGTTTTTTTTTTCAGATAGCAAATTAGTATTAATTTATTAAGGGATTTTTTTTTCTAAGATGAAGAGCAATCACTATTGATTAAAGGTGAATATTAAGATTTAACTATATTTGATTGAATGTTTTTCATTTTACCAAACATTTGATTTAATCAATATTTCGACGCAATTAATAATGGATAAAGAAGCATATGTATCTTAAATTCTCAATGTTACTCAACTTCATTAACAGTTTACTTAGCTACATAACCAAACAAATTTTGGAGAGTTGAAGTCATACAAAAAATTAATTATAATGTATACATTGTTTCCTTAGAATTGTACATCCTAATAGAATAATAACCAAACAAATTTTGGAGAGTCGAAGTCTTAAAATTCAAACTGAAGCATTTATAAATTTCATGCAATAAGGTTAAAGTGCAATGAGTTTGGTAAAAAAGAATGCTTGAAATATTCTATTTTTATATCATATTTGGTGCAAAATATAGTGCAAGGGTAGGTCATTTATTCTTGTGCCTAATTGTTCATACTACTTAAAAGTTATATAATTTTCTACGTATAAATTATTTGAGTTTTATGTTTGTCAAACTTTTCATTTTTACAATATATGACACCTCCATATAATGTGTGTATAACAGAGAAAACCAATTAATTCATTATTTAATGTAATAGACAAAAATAATTAATTCATTATTTAACTATAGCATGCGTTCGACGTTCTAAATAAAGTAACAGCTATTGTTTACTTAATCTGTTCCCAAATTATTATTCAGTTTGTATTTTTACTTTTAGTACAATTTGAACTAAAAATAAAAATCAAAACGGGACATTAATTTCAGGACGGAAAGAATAATGTCATTTAATAAGCATATTCGACACTTAATTTAAGATTATCAATAGTCGTTGATACCTTAAATAATCTTATTATCTATACTCGTGTATATATGTTTATCTTTTCAAATTAATGCACAATTTATTATTGACATTACGTATTATAAATGAACAATGGTAAACTATCCATAGCATACTATAAGTACGAATTGTGTTTGCATAATTAGACTTGTAACAATTGCAATAGTATGTATTGATTTGTTTTTCGTTAAGTTTCATAGCGACACGATATACGTAAGAATTACATCTGAATTGTATGTCAAATGTACTATTACAAATTGGAACGTTAACCAAAATTTTGAGTCAAATAAATTATCATTGTATTCATTTGGTCAAGTATTGCTGATGTTTTTATTATATATTTTTCAATGAAGTCATGATTATACAGTTTATAAAAATAAAAAATTCATAAAATAATATATATTTTTTGTTTCACTTGTGTTGTAATGTCTATATATATATCCTCCTCGTCCATCGGACATGTCTAATAACTAGTGTGTACTATTACAAATTGAACGTTAACAAAAATAATTAATATAGTTATATGATATTGATGGATCAAAGTGCATGACTATATGCCCATTCTTATTTTAAAGTCTGTGTGTGCAACTTATTTTAAAGTTTGTATAGAAATGTAATTAAACTTAGTTATATGTATATATGTGTGTGAGTGTGAGCGTTCAACTTATTTTAAAGTTCATTATAGAATTGTATTTAACACAAGACCAATAAATAGAGAGTTAAAAATGTTTATTTCTATATGTACCAACATATTTGAAGTATAATTTTCACTTTAGTATGTACTACATTTGAATAATACTCTCTCTGTCCCAAAAAATAGTCCAAATTGAGTTTTAAATTTTGTATTATTTTTAGTACAAATTTAAAAACTGAATGTGGACTATTTTCTTGGACGGAGGTAGTAATAATTACTAAAATGTAAGACCTTGAAATATATTTTTCATGTAGTAATAAGAAAAATAAATAAAGATTGGAGAAACTTTATTATTTAATTAACCAATGGCTACTTTATAATATGACAATTGTGTTAAAAATTGACATATAATGAAGTACGGTCAAAACAAAAGTAGAAAATAGAATAAATCATATGTCATTAAGAAAAGGACATTAAATAAAAAACTAGTTTGTTTTAATAAATTTTTTTTTAAAAAAACTAGTTTGTAGCGAAAAAAGAAGAAAAAGAAAAGAGAGAATATAGGAGAGGGAAACGTGAAAAAATTAAGAGGGAACTGAAATTTTTTGGGCCAAAAAGGTGCTTGAATTTTCCCTATTTCCCCAAAGTTCAGCGCCACTCCCCCTCTTTTGCTCCATCCTCGGTACTAGTTTAAGATTTTTTTTTTATTTTTTATTTTTGAATCAACCAGTTTAAGATTAGATTGCCCTCAGAAATCTGTTTAAGGCGATGGGAAGGTCTTGGAGCTTATTGACCATCCACGGTGACTTCAGAGTATGGGGCCCCTCGAGGCAGAGTTTCGCCGTTGTGTTTGATTGTTCTACTCTTTCTCCACCTTTTGCAGATCTTCATCTAATTTTTCCGATCTGGGCTAAGTAAGTCCCCGACCAATTAATGTTACTTGTATTGTATTGCCATATAGTAATTCTTCTATGTATTCGGGTTATTGAAGTTTTTTTGGCTTGTCTAGGAGTGGAAATCGGTGGTCCGATGTACTATTTGGATACTAGAGTTGCTTTCACCGATCATTATTTTTACCTGGGAGTTCTTAATAGGCATAATTTCTCAGTTTCTTCAATTATATTTATATTTTCTCAATTATTAAAGCCATAGATTTAATTGTTTTTTTTTTTTTGTTTTCCTTGTTTTTGTTGATGTAGCCAAAGAATCCCAGTGATCTAGGAGCAACCATTCCGATCCAATAAAAAGGTATAAGTAATGCCTCCTTCAATCTTTTGACTTTGTAGAGTTTAGATTTTTGAAGATTGCCCTTGTCCACGGGTGCTGTTCATACAATCGGACAACTTTCTTTCTCAATTTTTGTTATTTTTTTTACTGATATGCGTTATCCAGATCTTGTCAATTACCTTTTGGTGTAGTCCATTTAGCTCCACCTCCTTATTTGTTCCTTGTGTTACTACACATTTGATATTTCTATTTACTCATGCATCACTACTAATTTCGATTTCACTTTGACTTCAGGTGTCTCTGGTACAAGCCTGTAACCCTGTCAATCTAATGGCCTATAATGTTTTCTGCACAGTATCCCGCTTATGGTAAGCGTTCTGGATAAAGATCTTATTGATCCTTTTCTTTTATGAATTGACAATTCCATCTTGAAAATTGTTGATTTTGATTTTGGGATTATTGGCTGCTACTAGACGTATCCTGAGGATAGTTATTGTTAATTTTTTATGTTAGTAAACTGTTGTTCGATTGTTTTTCACGTGAAGCACAACTTGCTTATTTCGAGTTTTGCATCAAGGTTTCACTTTTCCTTATTAGCAATTGTTAGAGAAGATGAAAATGATTTCGTTGGCTTCTTTTTCTGGGAACAGATTTGGCTTCGTTTTTTTGTAAAGCAAGTTATGGCTTCTTATTTTTTGAAAGAAATATCAAATTTGGTCCTCTTTGTTTTTTTAAAAAATAAATATATAAAACATATGGATGAAAGGTCTGCTTTGGTTTACCCCTTTTTGTTTCTTCTTCCTTTCTCTATGTTGGGTCGGAATATCTGCCGTTTTTCTAATTCAGGAGGTTGTGCCTTACTAAGATGTGCTAATTTTGATGCGCCAAACTTTCACCACATTGATGAGCAAATGGGAAACTTATTACTCTCTTTTATTTCTTGCGATTCAATGGTTGCAGTGAATCCGCACGATTACACATTATTCGAAGATATGGATTGCATTCGAAGAACTCGAAGATTAGATATTCATTGTTGTTTACTCAAAATATTATGTAATGAGTTTTGTAGTATAGTGTAGTTTTGAATTTTTGTTTGAATTAATCGTTTCTTGTTGTAATCAGGAAATTATCTAGAAATTGTTATTTAATTTGGATATTTTGTAATAAAATTTTATAATCAAAATTTCTATATTTATTTTTTATTTTAAAAAATTTGCAATTTTAATATCTTGTTGTCACTAACAGATGTTTTAATGACCCATTCTAATAACCACATTTTTATTAGTGATTTAGTAGTAACAATTATATAGCGACGACAATATTTGACAATAAGTGTAGCCATTATTGATTACATATTAAATGACAATTTTACCCTAAAAAATAAATTAATGGTGATTTAATGTAGTCACGAGATTATTTGACAGTAGTTATTGTCACTACTAAATAATAATTGACTATTATACCCTCATAAAATAAATTATCCTTGTGACGACCTTTTTCTCTTCAGTTTGGTGTCACTGTTTTTACGTAAAGTATTCACAACTTTAAGTAGTCACTAGGCCATGATGATGTCATCTTCATAATGGTCATTAAAAATTTTGACTTTCAGGTATAGGTGACAAGAAAATATAGTCACTGTAAAATTTTGGTCATTAATTTGATGTAGTATAATGACGGCTATATGTCGTAAAAAAACGTGTGCTTACGTCACTTTTCCTTCGTTAATGAAAGAATCGACTGAAGGTCTATAGTGATCTCTAAAATGGTTACTGTGGGAATACGTCACTAAAAGTGATATTAATAGTGACGAAATGGAGTTTTCAATGACTAAATGGTGTAACA